CAGCCACAAATTTGAGGCTACTGGGAGTAAATCAGAGTCAAGTTTAGCCACATCCCAAATGTGAAAGTGGCAGGTAAGTACACTTAGACAGTGTTGTCCTCAAGTCAACTCAAAGGGGTCTAGAAAAATACATGAAATAACCTCATATTAAATAAGAATACATGTCTGTAAAATTATTATCGAAGATCTGAGAGTCTCTTTCAGGGGGAGGGGAGAATTATGTTGCAGTTAATAGTCCTTTGAATTTTCTATCAGTTGGATGGTTAAAATATTAACCAGTTAAAATATAACACTGGCTGTAAGTACTTTGCAGTGGAGGGAAGGCAGGCAGGCAGGAAGGAAACCAATTTTATATCAAGTATTATGGAAGGATATGCTCTTTATTGTACTTCCAAGATGAATGTTTTATATTATTATGATTTTTCTGAGTATTTGTAAGATACTTGAAAATTTTAAGCCAACAAAGATAGTTGACTTTCTGCAGTAACTAGTTTCATGTTGTTTTTTCCTATTCTAAAATCTTAGGACCTCTTCCTGTGCATTGTCATGTAGTTGCATACATCCTTTTTGAAAGTATTTATTTAAAAACCTGTATGACTGCCCATCTTAAAACACAATTCTGGGTGGCTCACAACAACTTTCACCATTGCTGTTCACCATTTTAACCAAATGCTGCCAGTTTGCTAATTGCACACATTTCATGTTACATTTGAACTAGTGGATCTGAGCTTGCTTGCTTGCTTGCTTGTTCTTTCTCCCCAGTCATCTACCAGAAACACATTGCTTGGGATGGTGTGACTGGCTGGGCCTTCTACCACCCATAATTCTGACCATGATAGGACTATTGTTTTTTTGATGGTATTACAAAAATAAGAAGTGGGATTTCCTGAGGGTCTCAGGACAAAATGCAAAAATTTGGGGGGGGGGGGAAGAGAGGTTGAATAATCTTTGATGAAGAGATTAGTGCTTATTAGTGTTTATTAGAAAACCTGAATTTTAAAAAAGAGGGGGGAAAGGTGCTTATAGTAGTCATGTAAACAAAAGAACAAGCATTTCCAGAGGTCCAAGTCAGGATTACCGTGGAAACATGCAATGGGGATCTTAACATCCATGATAATTCTAACACAGCCACCAGGATTTGCTGCAAAAGTTGCCGAGACCCTTGAAATTTTTAAAGTAAACAAAACTCCTTACTTTTATTTAGGGTGAGTCAAATTTTTGTTGACCCCCCTTAATTGCCAAAAAAAAAAAAAAAGCAGAGCTGAACAAACCAGGGCCCCAGCTCTCCATTTCTATAGTGTTGGGACTGTAAAAAGTAATTTCTGAAAAGGACATTGATAGTTTGTCTAAATCCTAGAATAGGAATATCATTAGACTTGATAAGGACTCTGATATTACAAGCAGATAATGGGAATCATTTATAAAATCAAAGGTGCCATGAAGCTATTCCCTTTCCAAACCCAAAAGGAAAATGTTGCTTCAGTTTCCAGTAAAAATCTGGCTGGTTAGAAGGCCCTATGTTTTGGAGATCATTGTGTGCCAATCTGATGGTATATAATTTAAGCTTCCCATTGTTAGTTTATTTTGGAAGAACAAGGGACTATTTCAGAGCAGCCCTTGAGGCTACAGAGCACTCCTGAGAAGCTCTTCCTCTCCTAGAGGACATGTGGTTGTGCTTGGCTGTGATCCCACTCATCAGAGCAGGAAAGCAACTTATGTCAGTGAAAAATGGGCTGCACTTCTCTCATATTCCTGCTGTCAGTGTTGTTTCATCACATTGCTTGGCCCCATTGCATTCAGCAGGGCTTCACTATGGTCAGATATTGTTTTGAAATGCTGTAGCTGATCTAAGCAATATTAATATCTGTACTTCCAAAATCCCATGATCAACATCTGAACCATTTTGTGGGCTAGTATCACTTTGACACCAAGAGACTACAAATATGTCAAAACAGGCTTAATAGGTTACCACTGTTGGGCTGCACAAGTCTGGGCAACCACTAGATGACAGCAAAGAATGGAAGTTAATTCTTTTTTGTTTTAGCTGCCATCTAATGGCTGCCTTTCCTTTATGATCAGCTGTTCTCTCATCCCATCATGAGTTGTATGGTTGGAGTAAGGAATGTGCAAAACAGCAGCCCCAAGACCTTGAAGCATGGTAAAGAATTGACAAAGAGAAGAATGAACTAAATTAAGAATATTTGGAGAGGAGGATATCTGCTTCATAATGTAGTGTGGAAAGAGGCAATAACTTCTGACATTTGCCAACTGTTGATAGAAGCTGTAGTCTTTAGAAGCATTACCTCTAGAATCAGTAAAGGCAAATAAAATTTAGTATGGATGGCTGCTTACTAAGGGCAAAGCAATCTGAGTTATCTAAACACAACTGGTACATATTGTGGTAACTTACCAGTTGATACATGCTTGGCCCTGTGGGTATCAATTGTGTCAAAGTTGTCACAAGACAGTGATGGCGCTGTTATTGCAACATTTCACAGGAAAATACTTGAAAAAAGGGAATTCAATCAAGAGATGAACACAAGTTTATGTAAAAAATGAAGTGTATTTCAGAGTATTTGAACATCAACATGCAGGTACAACATGGATAAAAATTATTGCACCTATATTATGTGGCAATTATTCAAGTTTCTAAAACAGTTCTATTCCACATCATCCGCTGCTTGCCAGATTTCAAGCTTGAAAACAGAACTCAGCATGGAACTGTGTTCACATTCTCCAAAACAACCAAAATCAACACACAGTGTAAACACACACAGAGCTGTAAAATCATCTACTAGAAGTACGGCATTATCCTTCATGTCCGGTAAGACAGAACAGGAGAAAGACCATATATTCCCCCCACAGGAAATAACAAGCAAAAATTCCAAATCACATCTTAATTCAGTGCTAATGAGGAAAACACCTCACAAGTCATTCCTCTTACCCTGTTGTATGGTGAGCGTTCTTGCAGCATGAACACCACCACAAAACTTAGGCATCCTTCCTCAAAAGTGGTTTTCAGCAAAGCTAAAGATCTAATACAGTGTTTCTCAACCTTGGCAACTTTAAGATGTGTGGACTCC